GTCGAAAGAATTTCATATCTAATCTAAATGAGTCATCAACAAACGCGCCCACCTTAAGGGAGTGTACTCTATTTAACAAAAATCCTTCAAGTTAATATTAGCAATAATCTGCAAAATAATCGTTATAAAGTCATAATCGTCATCTTTGCTTAACATGAACATACCTTCAACAATAACCTCAACCTGATGGCTTTGTCTTGCAGGTGTCTCGCATCTATAAATCCCTGAATCCTCCTTCTCAGCGCTCATGATGCTCAACCGGTACTCCAGTTGGCTGTCCCGTCCAGGATCTGTAGTCCAGCCCTCCGGGTAAGTGCGGTTGACACTGAAATGCATAAAATAGTACTAAATAAGGTTCAGACAACATCACCAATTACCTGATCTGAAACTATCGAATTCCGCATCTACAGTTTTATGTAGTGACATTTTTAAAAAGAAAATGGATTTGCTCTTGACCACTTCCTAGCCCTGGAGCAAAGAAAGGGTCTAGAAAGGAACAAGCTCGCTCAGAAGATGCCTACTCAGTCGGGATATGTGCTCGAAAACATAGTCGCAGGTAGGAAATTGCATTCCTGGGCTGTGCATGATAACAAATGACGAAAACCAAAATTAACAGCCAACTAAACCAATTTTCTGGTCTCAAACTAGGAAATTCCCTGTGTGCTATGAGTACCAAAGCAATGGGATTCACTCCAGGGCGTTACCCAAAACACCCAGGACCAATTTAGAAAATATCGTTTCCCAAAATAGGTTCTACTGCCCGCAGAGTTAGCCGCTAAGCCACCGAGGTCGAGAAATCCTTTACTTACAGATCAATTTCCTGGCTGAAGGTGTTCAAACTTTCAGTGAGATACCAGAATTATATGAGCAAGAAAAAAGAAGCTATTATTGTATTAAAGATGAATAAACTTACTCCTGATAGTAATGCGTGACGTTCCATTTCGGATTTCCAAACCTTCTCATCCACAGGCACTCCATATGCAACACCGTACCAGGGTAGACCAGCATCTTACCGTCGTTGGTCTGCGCGATGGGTCCTTGAGAATGCCTAAACAATATCGTTGGTGGCTTCTCCACTGAAAGAAATAAAATTTTATGGGAAGATTATTTGGGCAAACGCTTAACGAGAAATTCTTTGCAACGTGTACTGGTAAGTAAGTAAGATTCAAGTCGCTCAAGATCATTGCGACAAGTGGTCAAGTATAACTAAAATACAGATGTATTAGTAATTGCTTTAAAAATTCAATTAAGGATGGCACCGCAAGAAAAAGATATTATAGTCAGGTGGGAGCAAAAGAAACATACTCTATTATCATGGAGTAAATAAACGCAATTATTAAGAAGACTTAATTGACAAATGTTATTATTATTATACAATTCCAGAATAATTTGAGCATTAATTGTTAATGAATTAATTTTTAATTGATTAATTATTAAATGATTTATTTTTTAAATACTTTAAAATTAAATTTGGCAATCTTTTTAAAATTAAATCATTTGACTTTCAGAATATATTCGCTTAGATTTATTTATTTTCATTGTAATAATATTATAATTAATGGTAATAAAATTGTATATCTTAAAATTGACATTGCTGCGCCCATACAGGGTACATGTTTGATACTTTACCAACTACTCTATAAGGCCTAAATGTATCAACATGTTTAGCAATAAACGATATTATTATTATTATTTAGAGCTCCAGGAAGAACTCATAGTCTTATAAGAATTTTGAAGTACCTACACTAAACTACCTTTGTTTATGTGACATGTTTTAGTAGTCATTGCGCTACGTACAATTCTTACGATATGTACATTTGCCGGAAACGTGCAAAATGTGCTAATGTTACTTTTTCCCCAACCGCTCACGCGATGCGCTCCTCCTACCACAAAATGGCGGCTATTTGGTTTCGCAAATTAGAAAAGCATTCAGTTTAAATACAAGTTTTTATAAATAAAAATTATTATTCTGCATTGCTAAATTTACGGTATGTTTTCAATAAATAAACACCGAAATCACCAGCCCAAATAATAACACACTCGATTGTCGTGACGTATTTTTGATATTGTTTATTTTTTTAAATGACAGACCCAGGCATTAAATACTTTATGGTTTCCTAGAGTAGTCACCGAAATAGCAATTAATATTAGTTATTTTACCTGTTATAACTTCGATATCCGATAAATCGGTATAAAATCATCACCGGCACCTCTAGGTGTGGTATGCGTCCACGGCTGCATGTATCGCGTGAGCGGCTAAACAGTAGGAGGAACAGTATATGGTATTTCTTGTAAAGGTAACGTGTACCTGGTGTTCTCAAGATTTCAAAACTGTTAAATCTGTTATTTACCCGCCTTTTGGATTTGGAGCATCGTAGCGACATCTCTTTAAAATCGTTTAAACTAATTTAGTTGTCTGTTTTATCGATTGAGATACTATAACGCAATCCTCTTTAGATTACCGACTGAGAGACTACAGTGCTAAACTCTCTAAATTATGTGTCAAGGCTTCAAGTCCCTCTTCCCCCGGTGGTCCCTTTACCTCACCTGACCTTATAGGGAAAAATATGTTTATTATTGCATTATTACTTGCATGATTAATGGTATTGTAAGAAGTTCTTATATGATATTATTTACAATGTGTGAAATGTAACCAAAAAATGACTTACTAGCATAATCGTTTTCCTGATTCAGACCAAAGCAAGAGGGCTTCATGCCGTCCCAAGATCCTCCAATGCATTTCCTTGTTGGTGATCCTGTCATGGCGTATTTGCCAATATCGCTACACCTATAAAAATGAATTCCACACCTTTTAAAGGCCGACATGTTTCATTTGCTATTTTGTCAAGTTCTTCTGTTACCACCACAAGCAGTATAAACTGAATACAAGCGTTTTACATACCTGGATACAATAACCGATCCGGCTGGGAAATCCACAATTTCTGTGATCTCTAGATCATTGAAGAACGACACGACGTGAGGCTCTTCGTTTCTGAACGTACAGCTATTGTTGTTTAATAGCTCTTCGCTTTGTGCTTCCAGTTCCTCTGGAAATTATAAGATGAGAATTTACTACAAATTCTTGTATAATATCTAGAAGAGCAATCGCAGCGCCACTATCGTGACGCGTGCGGGCCAATTTTGCAAGTTAGTCCCAATTTGTGAAGTAACACAGTCGTACTACTACACCACTTCTATATAAGCCGTTAATTTAAAGGTGGGCACCTTCGCACGGGCATAGTTAGCACGAAATTGTCGCTCCGCGCGTCAGCGTTTTCAGCAAACAAATTATTTTGTTTTAATTTATTGTTTGGTTACAACTGAAAGGAATTGGTAGTTAATTTGTATTATTATTATTAATACATATTTAAAGTATACATATTCCACCAAAAATATTAAACAATATCAACTATAAGAAATGAAACTATATTTCCGGATTTAAATCGCATATATTTGTTTTTTCAAACAAACCGACGTTTCGGGCCCTTTACAGGTCCCATGGTCACGGTTGATTGAGGTGGTACTGTCTTCAACCAGTTATGTCTAATATTGATGCAAACCACCCTATTTTTTTCACTATAGTTACAATAGTTATTAATTAAATACCTTATATTTAATTTTACAAAGAAAACGTTCCAATTTACGCTACATTACGTTTTACAAATTATTTTATTGAATGAATTTTTATGAAGTTCAATTTATTATTACTTAATAATAGAAATTAGAATAAACTAAAACATATTAATTAGTACTGAAGTATTATGTCTGTTTGGGATTTTTCATTAGAGGAAATACTGGATCCCAAACTGGTGGTACTGAGAAACCATCTTCCCTGTTGAAATTAGGATGTTTCTTAATTTCAATGGCCTCTCGCAGCATCCTGGGTAGATAACGGACTTCTTTTGCAAGGACCTGGGATATGTCAAACTTCATTGAATGTGTAGGTTTATCCATGACATGTTCGCAACAATATTAACTATTTAATTCGTAAAAAGAATTCTACTTGGTTTTCCCCTTCACCGAAGACACTGTATTTACCAGATTTCGTGGGTGTATTTTGATGCATTCAGCGAATTGACGCTTCAAGTGTGGCGACGTTTTCGTAGCCGAGGCGTAAGAATATTCCTCGACTTTATCTTCAGTTGAAAGTTAATTGACCATGGGTTCCCAGTAAGGGCTCTTACACATAAACACGATACGACGTGACATTTACTATTATTCAACTGGTTTTGACATACCATAATTTTTATCACGTTTTTGACATAATAAAATTATCATAATTTACGAACATTTGTTGGGACTATTATTATTATTATTATTATTTTGTTATTAATTTACTTTCTTCAAGCAATATTTTGTCCAATTTGGACTATAAATTAATTAATTGAGTGATAAAAAAATTGTATCACTTATTATGCTTCTTAATGTTAATTATTGTGATCTAAATTTTAATTATTAGTTTTGATAAATTTCATAGTAATTGTAATAATTAATGACACAGCTTGTATACGAGATTAGTAATTACTTAGTTATTATCATTGTAGTGCCCTTACAGGGTTCATGTGGAAAACTATTATGTAACACCTTTGTTAATCCACATGACACAATGAATAAATGAATTATGACGTCGCGGCATCGTTTCACGATGTGACGTTGTATCGCGCTGGCGTTAGCTCTAGCACTCGGCCTTGTAACTCACTCGTCCAGCAATTCCTTACTTCCAGGCCTCTGCAGTAATGTACTATTGTTTAAACTTACCACAATCAAAACTTTTTCCGATCCAACTTCCATTTTCACAAATGAGTTTCCATGTGGTCTTCTCACCCATGATAGATGCAATACATCTGAACGTGATCTCAGTTCCATGGGGGTAGCCTTCCATGCTCAGTGTGCCATTGACCTCAGACCCGTCCCGGTATATGAGAGTGCCTTGGACCCTTTGGAGAAGTTCCGAATAATTATGACAAAGGTTATGATTATTATGACAGATGTTACATTTAATTACTAGCAATAATAATTGTAATACAAGTATGTAATTGACTAACGATGCTTTATTTAATTATAAATCACATTGATAAACTAATTGATTAAATTAATAATTTACTGAATAAATTAATCTTTAATAAACAATTTACTAATTCAATTAATTAGTTTATCAGTATAAATCGTTACTTAGATTATTAGTAGAATCTGTAAATCAATGCGTTTTTTAATTATTACAATACGGTAATAGAAAAAAAAACTTAGACATCAAAATCTTCGTCCTTAAAATTTCAGGGTTTCAATATTTGTTGAACTGGATAGTAACAGACACAAAACATGCACTAAGACATTGAGGAATTTAATTGAGCAACGAAAACTAAGCTCGGCCAAGACAAAAAAGCTAACGTAGCCATACGAACAGCTATCACATTGAGAGGCGTAATTTATAGAGACGTCGGGCACAGATGTGACACGGGTGTTTCCTTTTCAAAATTTCTGAATTGTTAACGCTTGTCTTGATTCACTTTATTTATACTGATTTTTTTAATTTTACATTATTATGGCGCCATAAGTGTAATTCTTAACAAGATACCTACTGCAGCAAAAACCACTATATTATGTCATGTCATTTTGCTTTGCTATTATTATTTTTAATTCAGAAGTTTTTCTTTAATAAGCAACTGTTATGGACAGGCGAGTAGCTTAACATCAGGTGCACAACTTGTTCGTCCCGTCAGTTGACATTTAAAACAAAAACTTTAATAGGTTATAATTATTACCTAATACAAAGTACGTTGGTGTATGTTCGATACACTTAGAAAAAAATCCTTCGATCCTGCCGGATTGGTACCGATGTCTCGTAGCAAACCGTGTCAGACGCTACGCCAACTAAGCCACGGAACGAACCAGCGCAAGTCACGAATTTTTCTACGTGCTTGTAGTCGGATCTTTGTATTTGGTTTCTCAACGACTTTTTAGCCGTAGCGACATCTATGACAAATATATTGTCCATCCTATGAGAATCTAATTTTGACATTCAATAAAAATTTAAATAACTTTAAATTGTTGTTTTATTACAACTGCCTCCGTGGCCGAACGGTTACCATACCGGAGAGAGGGTTCGATTCCCGGGCCGGGAGAAATATTTGTATGGCCTACATTTATTTCTCTCGTGAGTTTGGGTGTAATTTGTGGTTGTCTATGTGTGTGTCCATGGCACCCGCGACACAGGGTTTCCCTAGTGCGGGGTTATGTTGAGTGTGTGCGTTATTATTATTATTATTATTATTATTATATATACGTATATTGTGGCGCCCTTAATAGGATGTATGTAGATACTGTTTTAATTTTAAGACCGCTGTGTAAACTATGAAAGTAATAAATATTTTGACTTTGATATGGCACCACGAACGCTCAGTTTTGTCGGTTCTATGTTGACCAATTATATGTGAGTATACATTGCAGGAAAAAATGGCAGTGTTAGACGGGAAGTATAGCGGTAGAACTCCTTGTGAAAGAGTTCATTCAGGGAAGTACTGCCACCTTACCTATTTCTGTCGCCAAGCAGTAATTTGATTGGTAGGTCAATTAATGTCAGTATTACTGCGTTTTGGTTTCGAAGTGTGAGGTTGCTGGTGAAATTGTAGGCACATGGGACTTGTCAAATTATGTTTCAGAGTGACAGGCGCTGTAGTAGTGCCCAGATCTTTGCGATTTAAAGCCCTGACAGTCCTGCCCTGTTGCAGTGACACTGCAACTGTTATAGCCGCACGACTGGTACGTCCTTTTTTTGTTATTATAATCAAGTGATATAATAATAACAAAAAAGGATGAGCAGAGTTTGATCGTAATAAAGCGGTTGTATATAATCGTAAGATAAAAAATTGTTGAGCACGATTGTTTTGTTTAGTATTTTACGATATCTTTTTTCACTATACTTGAGTTTTGAAACAGTGCTATCCAGATAGCCTTTAAAAGTAAAATTGTTGTATAATTTTGACCTCTTTACTGGCCATTTGAAGCAAATTAATAAAAATGACCAAGACAACAGAAATTTTGAATTGAAAGCTCCCTCTATAGTGCTAATTCTACAAGCACGCTAAATAGGGGACATAAAAGCGTTTTATTTTTATATTTATCAATCAATTATGATCACTTCAAAGGGACTGGCCACGAATAATAATTATGCGTGACGTTCGTTTAACCAGTTTACGATAGAGTACCCGTTTCCGACGTCTATATTCCATAAACCACGCCACAGCTGATGTTGTATCAATAAAACGTTATTTTGAATCCAAATACCTACTTATAATAGTAAACTAAGCCCTGCCTTCCGAGGATTTAAGACCTGGGGGTCTACTCTCGATCTCCGTCTGACATCCGTCCGAAACAATTACTGCCAAATAAGCAACACTTGACCAAATGAAAAGACGCGTGATGCGAATGAAGCTTCATACTGGATACTTGTCTTTTAATTTTGTCGAATATTACTTATTTGATAGTAATTGTTTCGGACGGATGTCGGACGAAAATCGAGAGTAGACCCCCTGTAGTAAGTTATGAACATGATACCTTCTATGGTCCGTCCATGACAGAATGAAAAATCAAAATCCATAGAATTCGATATGCGAACATTTTGATGATTAAAGAATTGATGTTTTTTTTAATAGATTTTGATGACATATTTGATGATCATATCAATGATGAGACTATTCGTGAAGATGATCAGATAAATGTAGAAGGTAAAGAAGCAAAAGTCCGAACCTAGAAGGCTCTCACCAGGGCTTGGCATCCCTGACCGCCATTGTTCGCTTCAGTCTTTCCAGTCAGCAAATAAAAAACATTTCTTTGCAAAAATAGTACTTTTTTTCGTTAATTTGTTCATTGTCTTGATGACAACGCAACTTGAGCAAATTTTTATTACATAAAGTTACTGTCAGACTTACATATCAAATTAATTTAATCAATATTACAATTGATTTAATCATTAATCACACAAACACGACTAAACAAAATAATTTAAATAAAAATGTACGTGTCTTTAGTGGTAAATAATAAAAATTTGCTCTCAGTGTTCCATTGTTACAGACACAGACATAGCAAAGGAAAATATCACAAAACTTAAAAAAATCAACGCGTTTGAAGCAACGTGACGTGACTACAGTCCGCGCAGGAATGAAATAGCAATACAAAATGTACTGGGTATAAACAAAGACAACACTAGGTAACTACAACAGCCGGCGAAGATTAATGAAAGAAGATGCTTCGAACATCATCTAGGCCTTACCACGCGCGCGGATTAAACGTTACATGTGCCTTACAATTTAGAGTTTCTCCTTTAAAGCCAATGGCACTCTAGTAGATTTAAACGAATACAACAGAATGGAAATGATTATATAATTCTTAAACAAAAAACACAAGCTACAATGAAAGCGATTTTGTTAAAAATTACACGAATATAGGTGTCAATTTACTGATTTTACGATAGAGGTTTGCTTGTTTCTGCTTAAAAATATCAAATTTTGTTAATATTAAAACAATATATTATGATGGTGACATCACTTTGCCTATAGTAATGTTGTTGACATTAGCCCCTGTAAATGCCTTCGTTGTTATTATTGTCCACTTCTAAAAAGTTTTAATCTTTTGGTTAATTTACAAAGTCAGTTTTTGCTCAACTTAATTTTAAGTAGAACTTGTTGCGAAAGATATCATGAGTTGTGAAAAAGGACTGTTTATTACCTGGCCGGAGGTCCGCATTCTGTGATTGTTTTACCATCCAGATCCGGTTCTAGATCTGAAACATCTTCCCTGACGATGTCTGAACCACTCTGAAACTCTGATGTTGGACGTGGACGGGATAGATTTGCTGGAATTTTAAACATGATATTATTTCATTTTCAAAAGATTACTAACTTCGGTTGGCTGTAATGACGATGAGGTTAAACTCGCTAAATATCTAACTTGAGTGATTTAAAACGTACGTATAGGTAATTTAAATACTTGTATATTATGAAGGATCCTTTGTGCTGGGGGCACCTACAAATTTAATTCCTCCCTGCCCAGCTTACTGCGACACTGACAAGATATACGAACCTAAAGGCCTGCAGAAGTCATGGACAGTAGGCTGTAGTCTTCCTAAGTGGCAATTCAGTGTAGCTGGCGGTGCTCTACCGGGTTCGCAAGCTATGTTGACTGATGATGCATGGGCCACAGTTAGACCTGCTCTGTACCCTGCTTCGTAAGTCGCTCCATGCAGAAGGGGAAGTTCGCAGGGTGCTAGAATAAAGATACAAAAATAACACTTGTACTCGTATATTAAAGGCCTGAAGGGAGTTTTGGCAGACAAAATAGTACAAGATATCTGCGTATGTTATTGGGCAACAGACGTGCTGATTAAAGACATATGTAGAAATACCCACTTTTCGTATCACTCAAGATCTTCTTACCTGCCACGCATTCTGGCATGCTGGTGACTGCCCATTCGCCAAGCCAACATCTCAAATTTGTCGGCCCTTGAACGTTGTATCTGTAAGTAATATTATGGAAAATCTTATAATTTTCAGTAGAGAAGTTTCTCCCACAATATTGGGCCTGGACTATTCGAGATTCCGCTGCTCCGGACATGTGGAGGGAATAAGAGAGGATCATGCCGCGAAGAGAACTTATTTGAAACGACCGAGTGGACGTCGACGGGTTCGGACGTCCTAAATAGCTGGTGCTAGTGGCTGGAAAGAGCAGGCTTAAAACCGGGAGGCGTGGTCGAGTCTGATATCGGAGGTCAAGACCCATTTTGGGTCACTGCGCCACCGAAATAAGTAAGTAACTTGAATAGAAAAGAAGACCTAACAAAAAAATGTTATGCGAACACTCGTTAAGTTATTTCATCAAAGTATAGAATTTAATTTTTAGGATGTGCAAATTACTCTGTGATATTTAGAGTGTCGATGTACTTCACTTCTCTAAATGCATTCTGGTGACTTTTTTAACGCAAGTTTGCCATATATAGTCTGACCGTTAGACGGACATGGATTGACCGACATCGAGTTCGTGTACTGTTGTTTAGCTTATTATCTTTCTTGCCGTGAGCGATTTTTTCAATGCGTTAAATGCACAAGAAACCTTCTCTGACTTCTTGACACAAAAGTCTAAATTAATTCTTTAAAATTTTCTGTATTTTCTATCGAGATCTACTTTAGCGTGGACCATAAGCTGTGATTTGGAAGACACTCTGAAAAGTCATGCACCAGCAAGACATGGTCAACACCATACAAACTCATATATTTACCCGTATTCACAGGAGAAGTGAACGACTTGTCCATTCGGTACAGGGTCAGTTTCATTGAGTTCTCGATCCTCTTGGCTGGAGCCCAAGGTTAGAGGAGACGAGTCCGAAGGCATAGTGTATATGCCGTACTCAGTCGACGGGACGTGACAAGGCACTGAAATAGAAGCAGAAAAAAATATGTTTTAATGAAACTTGTGCCAATTAAGTGGCTGAAAATTATGCTTTTACAGATTTCAAGAAAAAGTTTTCAATTTCGTTGTCCTTGTAATGCAGTTTCAATAGAAACAACAGAAATGTTGGAAAAGTTAAATTTGTGCGAGAGCAAAGCATGAAAGGATAATTATTTAGAATAATTTCCAGGAATATAGAGAAAAGGTGCATGCGCAAGACAGAAAAATGGTCGTCCATACCGTTACTGCGAAAATATAAGTCACAAAAATTAATACATTGTGGTGCTGCTTTCATGGTATACATTTGAGCAAACATATGGATATGGTCCACCTGATAGTAAGTTCCGAAATGTATACTAAATCGAAACTATTCAAATATTGTTTTCTGAAGCGAGCACATGAGTTAATATCCATAATTGTAATCATTTTATATTTAATGCAATGTTAATGTACTTAATTAATCTACATAAATGTATGGCCTTTAAACTTACAAATTTCGCACTTCGGTTTGTCAGGTTTCCATCGTCCTCTAACGCATTTGGCAGTAGCGTTTGCTTCTAAGTTCAGTCCGTAGCCTTTTCCACAAGCAACTCGTACAATAGTGCCTGAAAAACAGTTCAAATTAAAAGTGTCTGTAGATGTGACTGGGTTATCAAAATCAAATTTAGTATAATGTACTTACTTAATAACAAGTATTTACTATAGTAGAAAATAAATGAAGATTTAAATTAAGAAGAAATAGAAAATTTCGTCGACTGGGGCATCGTGCCCAAGAGGCTGACAACATTTGAATGACTAAGCTTTTTGTTTGGAAGGAAGCTGCCAACCTTCTGGTCATTGGAAGCTTCAACAAAAAACTGAAAGCTTTATTAATATACTATGATTATGCTGACTCTCTCTGCGGTTTAACAAGTTCCCCGATATATGGATCATTGTTATTACGAGACCGTACAAAAAATACCTACCAGAGCTAAAACTGTTATTTGGATCCCGTCCGTACTTAACAATCTCAATATTAACGTAAGGATCACTCTCGATCGGTTCACATGGCACCTTTGGTCGTCCTTTTTTCTTTTCAGTAGTATTAGTGGCTCCATCCATAAACTCTTTTGCTTCAGTACTTTGACTTTCATCATCGTTCAGATGCGCTGGATTGTTCCGACCCCCTTTGCCTTCTCGACCTCTGAAAATATGAATTAAAATTTCATACATTTTTCTTTCACAACTATAGAAAGAAATACTAATTAGGGGGGTTTCATGTTATAAATACAACATGAATAAATGAAACTAGCACTGGGGAAATTGGTTCTCCCGAAAATTATAATTAAAATATCTCTTTCTAATAATCTACATTTAAACTTACGTTTTTGGAATAGTAGCTGTAGTTTGGTTAAGTCTATCTGTTTTTCTACTCGTTCTTTTATCCCTTTTATCCAAAATGTTCTCTACTTCTGTTGAATTCGTACTTTTATATTGCAAAGGTATTACTGCCATTTCTTTGTCATTGCGATTGATAACATTATGTTCAGATTTACTATCTACTGTAGCTTTGGCCTCTAGGTCTAAACTTTGTAGCGGTATGACTTTAAGCATATTATTTATAATTTCGTTTGTATATTCTTTTTTGATTGGTATTGTTGTCCAATCTCTATGGTATTCTTCTCTTACTAAATCTCTTTTAATTCTAGGTTTTACAGTAGAACCTATGATAGTTATGGTGCTTCTACTTTCCTCAGCTTCTAAATCTAAATCTAAGTCCAATTTGTTATCAACTCTATGTTTTCTTACACGTTTTTTACTATCAGCACCTTGTAATTCAACGTCCATTTCTTTTTTTACCTCGTCACCATTTTTAGAACTTGAATAGCGTTTTCTTCTTTTATCTAAATATCTTTCAAAATATTGATGTTTCAATTTATTAATATTCTTCTCATTTTCCTTACCACGCCCATGTTCGTGAAATAGACCGCCTTTTAAGACCGTAACATTGGGTAATTCATCTAATTCGTCATCATCTTGATATTCACTGATATCTTCATGATGTTGTATTATATCTTCCTCTTCCGGCTCATAAACTGGTTGATACGAGTACAATCTGTGTCCTATAGGTTCTCCATGTACATTGTAAACTGTGTAAACAGCAGTTGGATATTCTCCATCAGGGGTTTCAGCAGAAACATCTTCATCTTCATCTTCAATATTAGTGTCAAGTTTTTTCATAATTTTGAAGTTTGCATGTCTCAAAGTGGGTTTTTGAGTTTTGTGATTGTATTTATCATACAACTGATCGAGGTGTTGTTGAGTAGGGTCAGGTTTATGTCGAAGGTTGTTGTAGTATTGGCGGAGGTAGGCTGATCTTCTAGAACGGAGTTCTGTATCTGTTATAGAACGACGTCGGCGTGTCCAACGGATTCGAGGATGTTGGAAAAGAGTACACCTATTGGAAAAATAAAAGTTTAAGTTACTATACTATTCACACTTAGCATACGCAGTGCAGAATTGTTTCTTAAATTGGTTAACCGCAACCTTATCGCGTAACGTTGTATACATACTATATGGTCATAAAAGTGTGACAAATGACTCACTTGGGCAATTCTCTAGGACGCCAATGGCCGCCAATGCAGGTGGCGCCAGGTGGACCTTCAGACAATACATAGCCTTTCTCACATTCGTACATGATTTGTTTGTTGTTAACCACCTGAAATAAATAATTTTATACATACTTAGTTTTTGGTTAGACTAAAAATGACGTTGATGTTTAAAGACACTACAGACACAGATGTCACTCGGCAGAACCTTATGCGAGAATTTTACGAGAGCAACGGTGTTAAGCAAAGGACGCCTTTGAATTGCTGGGAAATGACTCATACCTTCTTGACGTAAGGTCGGTAGTCGTACAACCCCATGTTTCCAACTAGAAGTACCTTCCCGTTTTCGATGTACCCAGGGAATGGGCAGAAGACTGTAAACAGAAATGCATATTCATATAGAGCCATGTGGTGTTAAAGACATCTAATTATGACAATAGAAACGGACAAGAGAATGTACTTTAGTTATTAGCAGTTGACGAGATTTAACAATGACAACAAATGTGCGCGACTGTCCAATCAGATTAGGGACATCCCTTTAAAAGGGCCCATGAGTATGGAGTAAAAACTAGTGGATGTAGTGTATATACTTTCTATTTTTACGATGTACTTGTAATTTTATTTTGTTATCTAATTTTTTATTTTATTGTATTTTGTTTTATTTTAATTAATCAGCGTGACTTGTAACACTAGAAAGCGAAACTTTGAAGTGTTTTCAATAAATATAAATAAATTTATTAAGATTTTTTTGTGAAATAACTCCACTAGTTTTGTTATGATTGTGAATTCAAAGACAGTAACATCTATCAGATGGTTAGAGCAATGCTACGGTGCAGCATGGACGTGGGTTCAAGTCCCACTGGGTCGACGAAAATTTTTCTGTGTGTTGAACCTTTGTATTCACAATCATAAAAATAAATAAAATTAGGATCGCAGCACATGAAGTTAAGAAGTCCTACTCCACTGAAAAAAAGGCGAGATTATGGGGCGCACTATAAGTATCCGGAATGAATAAGAAAAAAAATACTATAAATGGTCAGAAATGAATTTATTGTTTCTCAAAATATTCTCCGTTAGCGTTAATGCACTTTTTCATACGAATGAACCAATTTTGAAAATATTTATGCCACTCCTCCGTGACAAACTCTGAAACATATTTTTCATACTCTTCGACAGCCTCTTCAGGCGATGAAAATCGTTGACCGCGTAACTGGTTCTTAATTTTTGGAAATAAATAAAAGTCACAAGGTGCCATGTCGGAACTGTAAGCGGGATGGCTCATAAGGTCAACGTTAGTAACCTTCGAAAATTCATTTGTCTGTCTAGCCGTGTGAGAACTGGCATTATCGTGGTGCAAGATGATATGGCGTTTACGGTTATTTTTACGGAGTTTGTCAATAATTTCTGGCAAACAAATGGTCGTGTACCAAATTCACGGTACAACGATTCTCCAAAGCAACAGTAGCCACGTGTCCAGTTTTATTAAAAAAAGAAGCAATCATCCGCTTAGAGGCACTTTGCACGCGCGCCACTTTGGTTGGTTTCGGCTCATCTCGAAAGACCCATACGAATGATTGCTGCTTTGTTTTGGGATCGTAAATATAAATCCATCTTTCGTCACCTGTTGTATGTCCCACACCAAATTTGACGCCCCTTCGTTGAATCTGGCGTGGCATTGCACCAAGTGACGCGATCCGTTTTTTGATCCTCAGTCAAATTGTGTGGGATCCACCGAGAGCACAGCTTTTTCACACCCAAATGTTTGTGTAGTATGCTTGTATTTGACTCATACCTATGCTTAAAGATCCATGGTATGGCACATGCCTGTCTGTTTTGATCATACGGCGCACAGAATCGATGTTTTTGTTGTTCACAGCAGTGGACGGGCGACCATCACGAAATTCGTCACTGAGATTTACACGACCGCGTTTGAAAGAACTCAAACTACTACGCTATAAATAGTCGTCTTGCATGGTGCTTCATCGCCAAAAGCAATTTGAAGCCGAGCGAAGCTCCGCTGAGCTGTTGAATTACACTTAAAGTCGTAGAAAGCCATACTATGAAAATGTTCACGAGTTAAATCCATAGTGATGTAAACAACCAATTTCTAAAATGACGCCACAATGTAAAAACAAGTGACAGTCAGATGAAACAAACTGCCAAAGACTTCCATTTTCAAATGTTGTAATAACTTTTTAAATATTGTTTAAGTAAGTGGCCAGTTCCGGAAACTTATAGTCCGCTCTATGTATAACGATATAACTAGGCTGGATTTCTAGACACTAATTGACGTCTGGAGATTTTACATAAGGGTGTTCATACCTTCTTCGCATTTGGGCGTTTCTCCTGTCCAATTCCCAAATGAACACACAACAATAGGATTTCCTTTCAACTCGTAACCGTCTTTACATCTAAACCTTGCTTTCATCCCGTGTTCAGTTTTAGGAGCTATCACCATGCCGAAGCGAGGGTTCTTCGGCATTCTTTTGCACCTGAAAATAATGCAAAATATTTTAATTACTGCTCAATATACATTGACGAGGTAAACAATTTTTTATATGGTATCAAGTAACGGAACGAACAAGTCGTGCAACTGGTGATAAACGATTCGCTTATCCACAACAGTTGCAGTGCCGTTCTCCGTCCGGAACAATTACTGTGAAGACAATATCAAGCATGAAGCTTCATTTCATTCGCATCGTGCATGCATCTTTTAATTTGGTCGACTATTACTTATTTGACAGTAATTATTTTGGACGGATATAGGACGGAGAACAAGAGTACAGGACCTGAGACAAACTTGACAATACTCATGTGTCTATAATTTCAATAGCATCCATACTCTTCAAAACCGGAAAGCAGTAATGGTTTGGCAAGATAATGGCATTGAAACGCGTGTACCGCTGCTGGCACCGCTTGGAATGTTCCGTTGGATTGTAATGTAGTCTGGAGAGTAGTAGTCTCCGCAGCCTCCGCAGCCTAAACACTTCTTGCTTAGTAAGTTTAAAGTTCAAAATTCAAAAGGGTAAAGAAATTATTCCCGTTTTATTAATATTTGTGATCTTTAAAATGTTTATCGCAACAAGGGATTTTTGGTAACTGGTAAACGGTTAAAAAAAAATGAGAACACGTGTTCGTGTACAGGGAGTGTCGATGAAACGAAACAAAATCAAAATGGCGAGACAAAATTAAAGAACGATTCTAAATAGGAAATGAAACTATTTTTCCGGATTTAAATCGCGTATATTTGTTTATCAAACAAACCGAAGTTTCGGGCCTCGATTTAAATCCGGAAAAATAGTTTCATTTCCTATGTGTAACAATCGCGAAAACCTAAGAACTCGAAACGATTCTAAATTTAAGAACAAGTGATAAAAAGGCGATAAAAAGGTGGTATGACGATATAAGGAGATCACATCGTCACAGCATTGCTGCTAGGCGACAAAAATATACCTAGATATATGTCGCTGGGCAAAGGAGTTCTACTGCTACTAATATACTGTAGATTGATGGAGTATCATATTTATTTTCGTGGCTATCGTAGTGACTAAGGGATAAGAGGCTGCGCACTGCAACTGACTCGTATTCTTTACGAATCCGAGACTATGCAAATCTAGAAAATTCGAACCTCCTTCGAAAGTAGCTTATGCACTAAGTCCGGTTCCGAATCCCAGATATTAAATGATCTCTGTGATATTTTGGACTGTCATTTCTCGGATTCCTGGCCCAATATTCTCAGTTTCCGTCCAACGTCTGTCGGAAACTAAGTAAAACTCAAATAAATTAATTAAAAGACGCGTGAAGCGAATGACGCTTCGTACTTGGTATTGTCTTTTTCGCGATTTTCTGATGGATAGGTCAATCCGTGTAGTTATAGATGGTTACTTGTCTGCTCCTCATGGTATAAATCCTCCTCAGGGAACTTTCATCTTCGCCACTCTATTCTTGCTGCATATCAACTGCTGATACCCGGTGTCTTTGGGTACGCAGACGACAACACAGTGGTAGAGAGTTATATGCCAGACGCCGGAAACAGCGGAGAGATCCGGTGTAAACGAGAGGCGATGGTAACCCGGTTGAATCTGAGCCTGAAAGCGGCTTCCGACTGGGGAGATGCGAACAGGGTCTGGTTTAATGCGGCTAAAACACAGGCGTGTCTTTTCACATCAAAACGGAGTCCCCTACACCTTACTCCGACTTTCCGAGACGTTTCCGTGCCGGTAAGGGACCACCTTGAGCTACTTGGTCTGGACTTATCATCCAACCTCAACATAGGACGAAACATCCGAGTGCTTGGCAAAATCTGCTGCCAGAAAACTGGGCATACTTTACAAGGTCAGGCGGTACTTCACACCTGAACAGCTTTTAAATCTGTATAAAGCACAAGTTCGATCGTGTATGGAGTACTGCTGCCACGTTTGGGACGGCTCTGCCCATTACCAGTTAGATGCCTTGGACTCGGTGTTTCTAATTATGACGATAGAAATGGACAGGAGATTGTACTTTAGTTATTAGCTGTTGACGAGATTTAACAATGACAACAAAATGTGCGCGGCAGTCCAACCAGATTAGGAACATCCTTTTAAAAGGACCGATGAGTATGAAGAAAAAACTAGTGGGTGTAGTTACTTTCTATTTCTACGATGTACTTGTGATTTTATTTTGTTATCTATTTTTTTATTTTATTGAATTTTGTTTTTTTTTTAATTTAATCAGCTTGACTTGTAACAGTAGAAAGCGAAACTTTCTACTACTACTAACTAGTGTTTTCAATAAGTAAATAAATTAGGATCGCAACAAATGACATTAATTATTATACCTGATCACTAGACACTGACGATGTCTGGATGGAGATGAACATTAAATTGGAGATCATGTCAATTATGTGACGTCAAGCTAGAGACGAGCCAAAAAACACGTCGCGCGTCTTCCGGCGAATTCTCGCGCATTCGCGGGAATTTCCGCAGCTACCTAGCGGATGGTGGCGTAACGGCAGGCGCAGTGTGACGTCAAGCGTCGACGAAATACTACAGCTTCAAGGCGCAGTCGCGAGAAAGATCGCTTTCCAGCGACCGGGTGCGCCTTTTCACGCAGCGAGCCGAATTTAATGCTTCCGTTGCATTCCGTTCGGCCGCAATGTAAATTGAGCCTAAAACACAGCCTTACTTTCGCATTTATAATATCGTACTGCTATTACAATTGTGTTGTAACTCTAAATACGTGGAATTAAAGATTATTCCATTGCTAAAAGTAAAATTTGATTATCTTTTATGAAATCGTCATTAAAATACTGTAAGAAACAATTAGAAGTTATCTATTTAACTCAAAATGAGACAGACTTTATGTGAGCTAGAACAGTTCTTACTCAAAAATATAAAATTATATTTTCTCTTTTATTTTTAAATGTACTTGGAAATTATGAAATTGTTTAGATGTCTGCAATAAACTTTATTATATACATAAATTTTAATAATCTTTCACTAATTCACATTAATTCGTTTTTCATCGATTCTGAAAAAAAACACACTTGTATTAACAGTGCAATATTAGTTACCAGAGTGGCATAAGGAGCCTTTAATAAAAATGTTTAATATAAATAAATAGGTCAATGTCTAATTTTACCTGGCAGGCTGACACCTTGGTATTTGCGTCCAGGTGCCATTGTTACAGGTCACAGCTGCATTGTTAGACGGGAATTCGTAGTTCTGCTCGCAGTCTACTATTATTATGTCACCTGCAATTAATCAGTTGGGTCAAGACAAAATAGTAGTTTATGTGACTTGTTACATACTGGAAGGCACTAAAACACGAGTGTGTTTCACACATCTCACGAGTGTTTGAATGCCTAATTATGTACACGTACATACACTGCTTTATCTTGTGGCGACTAAAAGATCGCACATTATTAGAGCGAACGAAGTTCACACTGGTTTTGGGCGAATGATTAATAACGCGGTTTCCGCCACAATCTATACACATATTATAAGCTCTCTGTGATGTGTTCAGGAACCGCATGCTACGACTGGCGAAATGGCGGCAAATAAAAACTTTTCTCACGCATGTCGCACAACCACACCCCGGACACTCCATACAACGGTCGAAAATTATTTACCTTCTACTACTACATACAGCAAGGCGCTATCTGCACACGCCCAAACGCGTGAAGTGGCAGGGTTACCCATCACTTGCTCGTACTAGTTATTACGTTACGTGGTCAGAGCGGCAATCTGTTATCTATAATTCTATTATAGAATCCTAATGTTCATTACGTATTTATATCGATATATATTTTTCATAATTCACTAACTGGAATAATATTGAAGATTTATTTGAAATATATATTAAAAGCACTTGAATTTTGTACAGGTGACCTTTAAAGAAGGTAACCAAAGTTTTTGAAATCGCGTGTCCATATACATATATATATGTATGTATGTATGTATATATGTAGACCTCATCGCATACGTTGCTCTGATCCCAAAGTAAGTAGCTAAAGCACTTGTGTTATGGAAATCGGAAATAACGGCAGTACCACAAACACCCAAACCCAAGACAATATAGAAAAGTTAGTCTTGTACACTGTTTCGGCCGGGATCGAACCCGGAACCTTAGAGATGGTGACACCATGAAAACCGGTGTGTAAACCACTCGACCACGGAGGCCGTCAAACAATTTATTTATTTAAAATTTAAGTGTGCAGTAGTAAGTACTCTATCTCTTCTGATGGAAAGTGACGATGAGGTCAACGATGGAGTATTTGTAAATACTCCATCGTTGACCTCATCCATAAAAAGAGCCTATTCACTCTCGCCTTGAAAAGGCCCTTGTTATAGCGTTCAGGAAATAAATCTGCAGGCAGGGAATTCCACCCCATACCCCTTCGACATGTAAATATGGAAGTGAAACGTTTTGTGCGAGTCCTTGGAACATCCACAACAAAGGGATGAAACCCCAGCCTACGTCTAGTCCTCCGAAAAATAATCGCCTAGATACACTTAACGATTACACCCGGTATAATGGTTGATCACAATGATAAGTTTTACTAACCATGTTGCACCATGGTGGAGCTGCCGACAATCTGCGTATTAGTTTCCGTTTCGTTGTCTGCAGTCTTGTTTTCCACCAGCACCACTTTCCCTTGTGACACGTGGGGCACTACGCAGGGGGCTGTGTGCCAAAATACAACCTTTAGTCTATACTCTTTATTTTTTATAATATCAAGTGGCGGGACGAACAAGTCTTGCGTCTGGTGATAAGCGACAGGCCTATCTATAGTAGTTGCAGTGCCACTCAGAGTTTTAAATCACAAAGATCTGAGGGGCACTGCCACTGCCGCCATCACCCTGAGACGTAAGTTGACAAGTCCCATGTGCCTGTAATTTTACAAGTACCCTTACCCTTCAAAACCGAAATTAGTAATGCTCACATTACCGCATTGTGGCAGAAGTAGGTAAGGCAGCAGTTACTTCCCTTCCACTGCTGCCTAACTGTACTTCCTGCTTAACGATATTTTACTATATGGTTTCTAATCTATTATTTTATTGAAAATAGATACCAAAAATTTACCTAAGCATTTTGGCAGCGGATGACTCCAAGTCCCATCGCTCTGACAAATCGCAGACCCATTTCCTTCCATCTTCATGCCATCCTGGCATCTGAAAATGATGGACGCTCCTAGGCCCGTTCCTGATGAAATGTTTTCCAGCCAACCGTTCCAGAGTTGACCTGGGTGGCCGCAGTTGATTTCTGAAACAGTGGAATTTGCCTTAGGGGTAGAATATAGCAATTATATTGACAGAAATTATTAATTTCAGTTTATAATTATTGAATTAATCCACTTGTTACTCTGGCAAACTCGCGATGTTAAGGCTAAGAACGCACAGAACAGTTTTTGCCGCGGTTGCGGGACCGCGTATTCCGTACCCAGACATGTAAGTTAAATTTAGTAGCAAATTTTCACGACGCGTTTTAAACACGACGGTTGCTCACGGTATGTCTAACGCGTCTGCGGGGTACTAACATAGTAAAGTAAGAGAAGTATGGTAACTTCGTATAAAGTACAAGCTTTCGCGCGCACACACAGCTTGTGTGTATGTGCGCGCCCGCCGCGCGCCGTGTACGGAAACACATATTCGCATAGTAATGAAAGGCGCGTTGATATGACCTGTGTTATGTAAAGCAAGTACATCGTGAGATAGCGCGAATGTGTGCATCGGTGGACGTATACAAGCCGCGAGTTACAATACTGGACTTATTACACTATGGTACTAGTAGAACCTCGCCAGATCACCTCCCGCCAAGTTTGTGGTCCGTTCCGCAACACTGCTGCGCCTACGTGACCGCTAAAACCGGCGATGTCATGAGATAGAAATAAAATAACTGTCTAGCGGGTGGACACAGCTTTGTGACTTCTTAGCCTAACACGTACATTTGAAGTTTAGAAGAAGAAAAAAAATTCGAGGGAGAAAAATATTTTTCCATTTTTGAACCTCCTCTCGTAGTTATATTAGCGAGAGCTCGAATTGTATATGCAGTGGTATTTGTGGATTTCGAGAAGAATTTGTAGTTGTATTTGTGATTTTATGTTTGTAGTTCTTATGCGAACGGCATACCACTACACATTTGAGCACCTCCTCACTCCGTTTTTGGACGACATTCCCTTGTCACTCTTCAAGCGTCAGGTATATTGGGTAATTTAATTATATAATTTGTAGTTTTTTTTATAGTTTTAAAACAAAGAAAAAATCATATATTGTCTCTCTTCGTTTTCTTCGTTTTGTGCCTACTGAAAAGTTCAAATAAATTGAAGATACCAGCAGCATGATATTGATTGCATCTTCCAATCGGAAACTGCGTCTCTTCCGATTCGAGGCGCACAATTGCGATTCATAGCTGGCCGATCGGAAACTTATGACATTTTAAATCGGAACTATAGTTGATTTAACTCACAAATTAGAAAGATATAGTAGAAGTCAGGTTCATCTTCTCGCTCGGAGACCCATCTGATTTCGAGACTCGGATGGATTACCAGATTTGAATTAAAATCAGCCTGAAAGTTGAAGGATTTAGCAGTCGATATGCAATTGCGAGCTCTCGCTAATATCACTATATAAAATTTACTGAGAACTTGGCCACTTTTTATGATTTCTTTTGTGACATTTAAAACTCACCTTTGCAAACAGGTTGCATCCCCGACCACTTCTTATCAGCGCCACAACGCCTGGTCGCGTCTCCTACCAGCCGATATCCGTACTTGCACTCATACGACACCACGGAGTTGTAAGCACATGATGTAAATACTGCTTTCCCGTGCCGCGGCGCTTCGGGTTGTGGGCACTGCACCTGGGTTACCACTAGATGGCGACGTTTGTCGCTTTAGAGTTCGTTGTTTTGGTAACAGATGGCGCTGTGTTTAATTTTGTGTTTTCTTAGTTATTTATTGGGAGACTATGTATAACCGTATAGGTGAAGTTAAAATTGAGTATGTTAGTTATTGTGAAAATTGCAAGTATATCTTAATTTGTACAATGTAAAAATTAAACCTGAATTTTTACAATACAATGATGATTATTATATTTAGGAACTCAGCAGTGATCACGTTAAGTGTTCTTAATTAATATACAAAAAAATATTTAATTGCTTTTAAAGTAGTTTAGTTATAATTATTTAAATAGGGACATTGTAAAACTTTAATCATGCAAAACTGAAAGCAGATAATAAAAAAAATATTTTTTTAAACATGCAGAAAAAATGAAACAATAATTTTGTTTATTTTTAAGTTTATTTTCACTACTATAAAGTATAGTATCAGATAGAATTACGAAATTCTTTATAATAAATTCTTGCATTTTCAACATTTAAAGCTTCTCTACATAGTAATACAATATAGATAGATATTTTCTATATTTGTCATCTACTATATTTACTTCGTGACTGCATTCATGGAAATAGTGTATATACTGGCCGCATTTTCCTCCTGCTTTCGAGAACTTGGCTCGCAGGCACTGTCCACAATCATTGTCTAAAACCTGTCCATTAAATTTATTTTGAAATCTGTTTTTTTCTATTTAGTGTATTATAACAACTGAATAAATAATTAAAATTTACAACGACATTGTTTTTATTCTGTACGTTACAAAAATTTACGCCGCGGCAGTGCAGCACCAAGTTTTGCTTTCAGAATATTTTGACTATTGCACCTAGTTTTTTTATTAATTTTATTTTTATAAATAATGAAAAAAAGACATTGTTTTTATTCTGTACGTTAAAAAAAATTACGCCGCGGCAACACAGCACCAAGTTTTGCTTTCTGAATATTTCAAATATTGCACCAAGTATTGTTTGTTCTTGAAAATGATGAAAAACTGTATTTTATAATTTTTTTATTTTGCTTAGTTGCTACACAGTCACGAAGTTACTGTTATAAACTATAATAGGCAGTAAAATCCACATTGAGTTATAATTTAAAATATGGCCATAGAAAACCACTATCACGAAGTGACTAGCTTTATAGAATTTGAATAGAACAACAATTCTATAATAATTATTATATATAACACTACGTAAATGATTTTTATTCTGTGCCCTTCTCTCCTCCGTCTAAGCAGCAGGAAAGGAGAGAAAAATAATTAAATTTTTATATTGTCACATCTAGAAGAAATTCTTATGGATTTCCCATTTGGTCTCAAAAATGTTTAAAAAGTATTTACGGTTTTATTCCAGACAAAGAGTCAATTAACATAAGAAAAATTTGAGTGGTAAATACACCCATATTTACAAAGGCAAAATCGACAAAAATAAACAAAAAATATATAAATTGAATATTTCGCCTTTGAACCTGTCTATTGCAAAGATATATATTTTAATAATTTCGAATCATACAATGAAAATCATCCAATGGTTTTATCAAAAACTCAGCAGAAACTGGACATAATGAAAATGGAACCAGAAAAATTGGACATAATATAAAACGAAATTTTATTAAATGGGAGATCCATAGAGCTAATTGCGTCATGACAATGAGATTGCTCTGTGATAGCCATGATAGCCATAGAGAAGCGCCATGCTACTAGTAATTGACTGGGACACACAGGACATATACCAGAGAAGAAAACATCAGTGTCCTTACTAGAGAATTAGTAAGCCCAAATAGCAAAAAAAAAATCATTTAAAATGATTTTTATTTATGACAAGAACAGGACATTGATGATTCGTTCGTGCATGATATAGACCCACTGGCTGTAATTTAATTGATAACGTATTGATTTTGAAAAATAAACTGTATTGGAGATCTATAAGAGTCAGCATGTAGTCATATTTTAACATTCCATTCTTGTAGTCGTCACCTCGTTACTTTAACAAAACAGATGTATAAAGTAACAAAAGTTGTGTTATTAAAAAATGTTAGTGTAATTGTGTCCAATGGCAAACCTTATGGACGTGTTAAAAATGTTAAGAGTTACATTGGACATGAATACATTTAAAATTCGTTATTCGAAAAATTCACACGTTATCAGTTATTACAAGCACCCCACATTTATTGGAGAAGTCACATTAATTGGCAAACCATGCACATTCCAAATGAGGGACAACACTCAATCGCAACTACATTGTCACGAAGCAATGTCACGCAAAGTTTCAAAATATAAATAGCTTTGGTAGTGAGATTGTAACTGTCAATCATTGATTTTCTATACAAGAAACTTAGATTGGATATTCACTTAGAATATACTTAACCAAATTGACTGAAATATCAGTTATTTCCGCTTAATTAATTCATCGGAAATTGGACTCATCAAAAGTAGTTAAAATTGGACATACTAAAAATCATTTTGCAAAGTATTTGAGAAATGATAAAATTTTACGATGTGAATATTATATAAACGAGAAAAGCAAGTAACAAAGCATAACACAAGTTACTTAAATTATGTGACCTCATGAATCTTCTGGTGTTCATAATGCAAAGTTACAACCTCACCACCAATCCTCAGAAATAGATCTCAGAAAATTACTCACGGACACAAGTAGGCAGCTCCTTGGGAGACCAAGCTCCGTCGGCCTGGCAGTAGCGTTCAGCTTTGCCAACCAGCTCGAAGCCCTGCCCGCATTGCACAACAGCGCGGCAGCCGAAGGTGTGGCAATCTGCTGTCACCCAGCCATGGGGCACTTCGCCAGGCTCGCCACAGGATCGAGCTGAAAACAAACCGAAAATATATTAAAACTGGTTCAGACAATTATGAAGAAAGGCTAAGAAACTAGCAAACACTGGCTCCAATTTCTTTTCTATTGGTGCAGGAACAAAAACACAAACTTAAAACAACGACTCGACAATCAAAAGTACTTACGTTCACAGCTGATATCTGGGCCGTACCAAGAGGCCTGATTGTCAATAGCCAAGCACTTAGCCCTGGGGAAGCCGTTGGTGACGTAACCGGTGTGACAGTTGTACTGTACGGTGGCATCAAGGTCGAAGGTAGCTTGCTCAGGCAGGGCAGAATGGCGGGCGTGCTCGATCGTTGGTGGTTGGAGACAGTAGACTAGAAAATGCAAATTTAGTACTTTTATAAGAAGCAAGGCAGAGTCAAAAGTATTACCAATATTTTAAGTTTGATCTTTTACTTGTTCCGTTGTTTGAGGATAGTGAAGTACCAACTTTCTTAATAGACTTTCGTGGTTATTCATCTTTGTTGCTATTATATTATGACTATCGTAACGTCGACTAGTTAGGAATTAGTTTTTGGAAATTATTGTTACCTTAGTGTTCAGAAGATGTAAGCAAATATTGCTACATTTCAGTTATTTATAGTGTCAATTTTAATATGCCTTGTGGCAATGGTTTGCGAAAACTCAATATCGTTTCTTGCGTTCGACTGCTTACCAGAATGCGGCTTCGGTATAGAATAAGGACATTGTCAGTGTTGAGTGTGGCGTTATTTTGAAAAATATAGTAAGGATGGATGAAGATTCCACCGCCGAGATGGAGATGTAACACCGCGTCACTAGTCAGCCCGTGATCGAAACATCGGAAAAATAGGTTTGTGTTATAATACCGATCAGTGTTTAAACGCGTTTAGTCCCGTTTTTAAATGTTAAGAAATTATTTCAAAATCTACCGAGATCTCTGGCAATGTCCCGTAGACAAGATCCCAGGACGAAAAGCAAAAAGACGACCAAGAAGAAAATTTTTTGAAGACGTCAACATGCCGGCTAAATCCAATTAGCGGGTCGACATCACTTCCTTCCGCGCGCTTCCTTATGCTCAACTCCAAACTTCTATTTACATGCTTATGCCTTGTTAATAATTGAAATGTACTTACTGTTTTGTTTGCAAGCGGGGGGTTGTCCGGCCCACTTGCCGTCAGCCTGGCAACTTCGGCTCTGAAGACCCACTACGTGGTACCCGTGGGGACACGAATATACGGCCCTGTAACGGCAGTACTTATCTGTTATAATTATTAATACAAAGATCGAACACTCAGAAAAAAATCTTCGATCCGGTTTGCAAGGGTAACGGTGCTGGTGGTGATGGGCGCAGTGGCAGTGCCCTTCAGATCTTTGCGATTTAAAGCTCTGAGTGGCACTGCAACTGTTATGGACAGGCGTGTAACTTACCATCAGGCGCACGACTTGTTCGTCGTCACTAGGTGTTATAAAAAAAATTATCAACGGTACACACCCAGAGCCACACTCCTCTACACTATGGTTATTGACAATTATAAGATATTTTTGTTGCGAACTAACCGGAAATATTTTACAAGTTTTGAATAATTTATTGTACTCACCATTACATTTGACTTGTGTTCTTTTATTTTAAAAACTTAATTTGCATGTTTTCTAGTTTATCAATATACAATTTAAAAGTTACATCGTAGCTGTCAAGGGCATAATTACAATTACCACGTTAAAGTGTATTTTGTAATTGGTATTTCAAACATCCGACACTAATTTATTACGTAATTGATATTTGTATTTCAATTAGAAGTAATTAAAATGTTTCCCAGCCCTGGTAGTACTGAACTAACCCTTAAAATACCTTCTGGACAATTTCTTGGGTCAATGGATAGTACAATTAAATCTTACTTGTCACCAAACAGTCGTCCTGTTAACGTGATGGTACCGACTTCAGGTTGTTCCAGTTCGGGGCATTCACGATCTGAAACAACAGAACGACAAATTATCATAGCCGAGTGCTTTTGTCACAAATAAATGATGTTTAATTTTGAGCGACGTGACAATTTTTTTTATTCATCTCCGCCGCTTCCCGGTTCTTAATTAAAATTTGCTTTAGCAAATTTAATCTTAGACAGACAGGGCCGCATCTTGAATATGGCATTTTGATTGGAACTCGGTTACTTTCGTACCCGTCTAAGATATCGAAATGTAATAATTTATTTTAAGAAGAATTGTATTTTTTTATGACAAATAGTGACAGACATAACATTATAATTATATTATTTTACATATTACAGACATATAACATTACCTACTTAATACGAGGAATAAAAATAAACCAGTTGTTCTCGTTAATCGTCTTCACAAAATCACAAATCATTTAAGGGGTAAGATTCCAGTTGATAATATAACTGCCTCCGTTGTAGGTGTAAAGGTTACCACACTGTGTCTCCCACGCAGAGGTCCCGGGTACGATTCCCGGGCTGGGAGAAATATTTGTATGACCTACATTGTAGCAGTAGAGCTCCTTGTAAAAGAGTTCGTCGAGGGTAGTAGTGCCACCTTACCTATATCTGCCGCCAAGCAGTAACGTAAGCATTACTGTGTTACGGTTTTGAAGGGTAAGGGTGCTGGTGAAATTACAGGCACATGGGACTTGTCAACTTATGTCTCAGGGTAACGGGCGCAATGGCAGTGCGATTTAAAACTCTGAGTGGCACTGCAACTGTTATGGACAGGCGTGTAGCTTACCATCAGGCGCACGAATTGTTCGTCCCGTTACTTCATGTTATAAAAAAAATTCTCTCTTGAGTTAGGCTGTAATTTGTAATTGTCGCTGTGTATCCCCGTTGCACCCGCGATACAGCGTTTCCCTTACTGTAACTTTTACATATAAATGTAACATCACACCATCTCTGGGGTAGGTAGAGACAACTGACCTTATACCTTCTCTCTTGGCATGCCTCATTCGCTAACTTCACTCGCATTACTTTGATTCAGCATTTTAAATCCAGTCAGTATTCATATGCTAATATTGTATTATAATATCATGAATAAAAATCATCTGTTCTTTGTTTTAACTATAGAAGAATGGCGGTTAGATCGGGTTTAATCAAAATAACTCTGAATAAATAACTTCCATCCAGCTCAACGAGTTTATTTTACGCAGTTTAGTTTTGTTGAAAGCCTTTGAGAAGTAATTATAAAAAGTTATAATTAATTTTAAAATGGATCTAACCGTTTTCTTTGAAGTTGATTAATAATATTACGTTACGAGGAATGTTTGATTTGAATATATCGCGTCCTTCTTACTGTACAGGTCGAATTGTATAAAATTTTATCCTGCTTTAATAAATTTTGTTAATGTTTACGATAGCAATTGTAAGGCCTGTACTTTGAATGGACTTTTTACCACGGCGCAGGTAAAAAGGTGTTGGTGGTCACCACTTCGCCATGGTAGTTTGATGGAGAATGATAGACGAGTCGTGGGTTGGTAAAAGACTGTGTATGACTGTTAATGACTGTGGTATATTTTGCTTGAGCTACTTATTTATACTAATTTGGTACGCGTGTCTTATGCTGACTCACAAGGCATGGTTGTTACTTTTGCTTGCACTAAGACGTGCCTCAATGTCGGAAGAGGGTTAGACATTCTGCCACGTTTGTAGCTGCTACAGACTTTAATTTATTTTTGACCGACTTCAAGAAAAAGGAGGAGGGTTCATTTCGGCTATATTTTGTGTATGTAGGTATGTTACGCGATAACTTCGAAAAATTTCTTCAAAAATTCACAATTTGAGAATTGTAAAATGAATATTTTTTGTTTGAAAAATACCTCTGTATTAGTTTCATTTAAAGTTGAAGAAAATATTCCACCCCTAAAGGTGGCAAACTGGGGGATGGATCCGGTTTAGCGCACTTTCAGGTAACCAGTTTCAATAAAACTTGGCAAATAGATGTAATTCCACGAACTTCTGAGGTCAGTTTTATGTTTTACAAAAAACTAGAAAGGGCTAAATGAATCACTGGCGGGGAAATTCCCAAAATCAATGCAAAAGTACTTGTTTCACTATAGTTTGAAACCACGTAAGTGGAAAATTTTGAATATTAACTGGGAACTTACTATAGAAGCATAAAAAAATGTACAAATACATTGCCTTGTAAATGAACTTGGGGCTTTTGTGAAGACTACCGTCATGAACAATCTGTTCATTTTTAACCCATAACGTGAAAGGAGGGTACTTATAGCTTCCCTTAGCAGTTAAACGCGTTTGTCTGTGTCTTTCTGTAGCATTGTGGTTACCAAAGTGCCTTAGGCCACAGATTAGTTACTCTTAAGTCTCGATTACTATCAGAACCGCTGTCGCCAAAGCTTACACATTCATAATTTGGAACGCTATGAAATTTAGGTCATGATTAGGCGTAGTTTCAAATTTATAAAAAAAAATAACAAGTTCAGGACTGTTAATATAATTTAAACTTTACTCTGTTAGCAAAATGGTAAAAATTTCAATACCATCAATACGTATTATTGCAAGTTACGACGTTTTGATTTTATAATAAAATTGTAATCAATGTGCTGCCATCTAGCGGTTAATAGCTGAACGACGACGAATTGTGATGATTGCTTAGTTCTCCGAAACAGAAGTTGTGACAAAAAATGATTACGATAAACAGAAAATTGAAAAATTAAATTAAATAAGACTTAATGATGGTACAAAACGCCATTATAGAAAATATCAGAAGTGCGACTCTCATTTTTGCACTCCAAAGTATTTATTTTCGAGGTTTTACGCGAGATAATTGACACGACCATAACGTACAAAGCCAAAGTGGCGGAATGAGCTCAAGTTTACTCAACTCCGCGAACTATTGGCACACGTGCTATGCAAACTACGCGCTGTATTTATGGTTCTGTGTCTCAAACGGATGGCCATATCTTTATTTTTTATTTGATTTCAAATTTAAGAAGTACTGCCATCTTACTTATTTAAACCGCGAAGAAGTAATGAGAGCATTACTGAGCTTCGGTTTTGAAGTGTAAGGGTGCTGGTGAAATTACGGGCACATAATGGGACTATTCAATTTTATATCACAGGGCAGTGTTCTTCAGATCTTTGCGATTTAAAGCTCTGGGCGGCACTGTAATTGTTAGGGACAGGCGTGTGGCTTAACAAAAATATGTTTGAAAATTTTGTTTCATGTTTTTATTAAATTGCTTTGCTTATAAAATTACTGTATGAGATGGCGCTTGCTAAAACAACCAAAAGGCCCATAATCCGACCCGGCTAATGTATGTTTGCGTACAAAACCCACATTAGTTTTTAACCGACGTCTAAAAAAGGAGGAGGTTCTGAAATCCACTGTATTTTTTGTATGTTTGTTTCGTGATTACTTACGGCGTTTGTAAACCGATATTCCAGCTCTAAGGGTGGTAAACTAGGGAATGAATTCGGTTTTGACCACTTTCCGGTAACCGATTTCAACAAAACTTGGTTTTTGCGATTGTTACACATAGGAAATGAAACTATTTTTCCGGATTTAAATCGCGTATATTTGTTTTTCCAAACAAACCAACGTTTCGGGCCCTTTACAGGTCCCATGGTCACTGTTGACTGAGGTGACAGAAAGTTGGTTTGTTTGAAAAAAAAATAGATTAATAGATGTAATTCCACGAATTTTTAAAGTCGGTTTTTTATAAGAAATTTACAATTATTATTTTATGTAAAAAACTATTGAAAATCTACGAGGTTAACCGTAACAGGGTAGTAAATATATCTGACATCAGCGAAAAGCACATTAAGATTCGATTTTCATGAAGATCGATTCAAGTGTATGCGATCTAGCGACTTTTTGTATCGATTCATTTCAATGCGATTTTTAAGTAAATCGATTCAACATTAAGGATCTAGATCGTATTCATAATTTAAACAAAACAGTCTCTTTCGGAACCCCTGTTTATTCGTAAGGTTACAAATTTGTACTAGAAAAGTAGTTTGACAATATCTAAGTTTTTTATTTTATTATAGTCGTGCGCCTGATTTTAAGCTACACACCTGTCTATAACAGTTGAAGTGCCACTTAGAGCATTAAATCGCAAAGATCTGAGGGGCACTGCCACTGCGCCCGTCACCCTGAGACATAAGTTGTCAAGTCTCATGTGCATGTCAAATCACTTACTCTTCAAAACCGGAACACAGAAATGCTAACATTACTGCTTGGCGGCAGAAACAGTTAAGGTGGCAGTACTTTCCAGGACGAACTCTTTCTCAAGAAGCTGCTACTAAATGTGTAACAAGTCTACTAAAATTTGGTGATTGTCGCTACTTCTGTGTCATCTGAATGTCCTCTAACACTAGCTAATATCAGATTAAATGAAAGTCGTAATCGATTGAAGCCAAAAAGCTGTCAAAATGATTACGTTTCTATCAAATTTATTCATGAAAACGATTCAAGTGCATATGATCCGATCTTTGGATCGATTCAAAGGCGTAATGATTTATTGCGACCCAAAAAATCGACTCAAAGCAAAAAATTATTCATCCCTAGCGGAAAGAGATCTACAATCCCCTCTAATTGTTTTTTTTTTACATGTCATTTAGATTCAATTTTATTGTCACGCAAAATTAGCGTTACGGACTTTTTTTGGTTACAATGAAACTTGTGTCAATATTTGGAAAGTTACCAAAAAACAAATATGTTTGTTATGACTATAGATCGGGAAAAGGTGTTCCAAATCTATATATATACATGCATAGATATGGCTACAAGGAGTGACATATAGTTGTTAAAACCACCAAATTTTTATTCATTACTTTTATCGAATTCCGGATTTCCAGAAATGGTTTTACTGCATCGTTTGTTCTACGATGTTAGACGACGATGTCGTAAGTCAAAGTTAGACTTTAAAGTAATTTCTGTCAAAAAATGCGGTAGACGACTGACTTTTCATTACAGTAAACCTGCTTGGCGGCAGAAATA